CTGTAAACTGATCAAAGAATTTTTCTCGATCATCATCAGAAATTTGTTTCTCGCAGGCATAGCATTCACCGTGTTCCTGGTAATCCTCATCCCAAATGTTAAACTGATAGATTGGTTTTTTATAGGACTTCCAGTACTTCTCATAAAGTCCATCGGTTTTCATCCTAAGTGCTTGACAAAATTTTTGGATACAATCCGGTCCTGAAATAACGAAATCATAATGTTTATGAGTTTATTGCCTTTGCTGGAATGTTAAAATATTTACCTTCGTATGTCCACATCTCATTTAGATGTTCATTGTATTTATGTACAATATAAAATGATGCTGCACATGCTGTATGCCTCTGTGCCATAGTAGTTGATGATTTTGATGGATCATTAAGATTTATATCGTAATTTTCCAAAACTGCTTCGATGTCAGCATAAATTACTACTGGTGGAGATAGTTTTTTAGAAAAACTTTTGAATACAGTTTTGGTATTAGGTTCAGGATACAAAGCAGCAACTTTTCCACACTCTTTAGTGTCATGTATAGTATTTGTTGTACTATAAAATTGCAAGCAGTTCTCGCAAAAATATGCCGTATTATGGGATTTACTATGTTGTGAATAACATAATTTTCTCATGCACGTTATATATGCATAATGCATCATTTGCATATTATCACTATTAATTCCAAGCAAGTTTATGTGGTGAGTCCGAATTTTCTTAGTCCTCACTGTGGGTCCCACAACGTTTTTTCCATTCTCATCGACTTCATAAACATTGATGCTAAAATCCTCATTTGCTGATTCGAATCGCTTGATTCCTTTGCTTGTTATTGGAAACTCAATTCCGGAAAAATTTAATCTTACTCCTTCATAATAAATGATGTCTTGCCGTATGTTTCCGCATCGATAGGATGATGGTATTGTTAACTTATCTCGGGAAATTTTTTTTAATGCTGCTGTTTGATATATAGTTTTAAGGTGTGTTCCATAGGCTAATGATGCTAAAACACACCACTTGAAACAAAAATCATCGTCATTTTTACATTTATGAGTGCATTTCGTGACTTAATTTTTTTGGGAGCTTGGATAAACCTGTTTGCAGCGATATGCTCTAGTTTTATCATGGTAAGTTCAAAATATTTAAAACACTTTATTGCCCAACCTGAATCCTTCTCCTGGAATTCACTGCTGAGAGTTATCAAATTTTCTATTGTATCATTTAGATGATCATCAATCAGCTCGTTTTCATATATTGGTTTGTATGGAGTAATGAAATGCTTCATTGTTTCTGTTAAGCTTTCATCATCAGTGTTTTTAACGTATAATCCATATACTTTTAAATTGTATTTTATGGATCTGTACTCACTCATGCAGTGACGCAATAAATTGATAATATCATTTTTGCAATCATAAAAAAACTCTTTTAAATCAATCTGTTCACTTTTATTTGAGTGAACACGATATGATTTTAAAGGAAATCGCGACTCCGTTGAAATTAAAATAACGTTTTCATTTTCCTCTAGTTGAGCTGCTCTTGCATTCTTATGTTTGTCCGACATCATATGGCGTCTTTCCCTAGACGAAGGGTAACTTTCACCGCAAATTGAACAGTCAATAATCCTTAGGTCCATCGGAGTATCCAATCGAGGCCGTTTTGAAGCTCCTGACGTTGAAGGACCTTGAAGATCACTTGAATTAGATCCTTTGCTCATAAGAATCTCAAAAGCATTCCTAGGTCCCAAGCATGCTTCATAATGACTATCAAACTCTATTAAGTCGATGGACTTAGAGCAAAGGTCACACACTACATTATTACGCAAATCAGAGCATCTCTCATAATGAGATTGAAACTCTGAAAAGTCAACGGACTTATCACACATGTTGCACTGAACTTTTGATGCCATTTTAAGTTTTATTTATTTATTTATTTTTTTTTGTATCGAACTAACCACTTTCACTATTGAAACAGGACTAAGGGTTTCCTTTTTAAATGGTATCTTTTTAGGCCCCTCCCAAACACCTTCTTAATCTTTTATATCCAAAACAACAGTACCTGTTCACAAACCTGTTTCAAACGATTCCTACTGGGTCAATCTAATAATATGAGGGAAAGGTTACAACCTCTATTCTACCTGAAATCCACTTATTCTTTTTGTGTAATCCTCACGTGGAAGAAACCTGTTTCAAACGAATCCTATGATTCTCTTGTAATAAGAGGAAGTGAAATTCAACCAATCAAAAGTAAAACAGAAACATTTAAAATAAATAGTGGTTAAATGTGTTATATTTATTATATATGTACATATGTATATATTATTTTTAGAAAAATACATAAAATATTCTTATTATATAAATATGTATTCGTATTATTAAAATTTCGCCTCAGCTAATTTTACCGCAGCAATTAAGTCATCATCATCTTCGTCCCGAAGTAGTTCCTGGAGTTGAGATCTTTTATCATCATCCTGATTATCTACTAAATCGAAAATGTTGTCATCATCCGGGAAAATGTATGCTGGATTATCATTATTAGACGTTGCATTCCTTGGGTCATCGTCGTCATCATCCCATTTAATGTCACTTAACCAGGTCAAGTTGCTCTCGAGATAGGTTTGAGTCTTAATCCCAAAAATCAAGGACAGGTCTACGGAGCTCGGCTGAGAGTCCAGATTTATGGTTGATTCCGGTTGGGAATCGATAAAAATGATTTCAAGGTCATCCATCGTTGTTGAAAGATTACTAGTTTATGTCCTAGCTGTTAGCTGTGAGTAGTTATTATATAGGCACTTTGCTATGGGACAGTGTTAGGTACACAAAGGAGGAATATAAATTATAGAGAAAGTAGAAAGGTTCAAGGGCATCGAAACCGTTTTTCAGGAAACACTTAAAAAATACCTCTAAACTATCACATTAGATTCATTGCAAAGGGATGACCTACCTGTTTGAGGGTTGTTTGAATCGCAACACGGGACCAATCGTAAAAACAGGTTCATTGACAGTAAGTGGGAGGAGAGAGAATATAAATGAGCGAAGGATCGATTTGAGAGGATTTTACATGGTTGAGAAACAGGATTAAGATCGAAGTTAGTTCACATTATCGCCGATAGGTGGCGCCACCAAGTAGTAAGGATACGGGACAGACGTATATTTACTCTAAGTAGCATTAATTAATTTTGATGTCTTCCTATTATAATTTTATTCTTTGCGTGCTCCTATATATATCTCCATTAATTTGTGTTCTCTTACCATTCAACCCTCTATACGGACATCTAGATACCCAGGTTTCCAACCTATGTTTTCTATAGGATGTAAATTTCAGAAACTTCACACATTTGTTTTCCCAATTCAATGTTTATAAAATATCCTATAAGTATTTATTTAACTTGACCAGTTAATAACATAGCAGAAATTGGTTCCCAATTCAATGTTAATAAAATATCTTATAAGTATTTATTTAACATGATCACGTAATAACATAGCAATATGATGCACACTTACATTCAACATGTTGCCAAGCTGCACATGCTTAAGCAAATGTTGCTGCAACATGTTGCGAATTTGGTAATTCAGTGTAAAAAGCGACCGTCCCTTATCCTTACTACTTGGTGGCGCCACCTATCGGCGATAATGTGAACTAACTTCGATCTTAATCCTGTTTCTCAACCATGTAAAATCCTCTCAAATCGATCCTTCGCTCATTTATATTCTCTCTCCTCCCACTTACTGTCAATGAACCTGTTTTTACGATTGGTCCCGTGTTGCGATTCAAACAACCCTCAAACAGGTAGGTCATCCCTTTGCAATGAATCTAATGTGATAGTTTAGAGGTATTTTTTAAGTGTTTCCTGAAAAACGGTTTCGATGCCCTTGAACCTTTCTACTTTCTCTATAATTTATATTCCTCCTTTGTGTACCTAACACTGTCCCATAGCAAAGTGCCTATATAATAACTACTGCTCTCCTCCGGCAGACGCCGCTAATTTTTAACGACACGACAAAGAGTGCGTGCGAGAGAGACAGAAAATCAGTCTGAGCGTGACGTCGGGTGCTGCGTAGCCAGTGCAAATTGATTTGTTCCTTTTGTCTATACAAATTATCTGATCTGATCGAGATTCAGCAATCTGATAGATATGGTGGTTATCTATGATTCTGCGTTTTTAGTTTTCTCGAATGTGCAATATTGTGGGTGCAACAGATTTTCGTCCTTTGTGGGGGCGGAAGGGGGTGGGGCAAAATTTTGACACAAACCTAAGGTAGCCTGCAACAAAGAATTGGGCATTTGCCTAAAACCACATCTTGGCCCCTTGGCCCGCTTACCCCTTGGTACAGTCACATTAACTGGAAAGAACTTGTCGTAAATGCCTCGCGACCATTTGAAAAGATCAGTAAACTTTCTTGTGTAGTTTTCATGCTTCGTATAGTTCAACACATTCGACAGATTGAACTTGGAAAGTTTAGCTTCAGAAAAGTGAACCAGACCCAACTGCTCGTGGGTGGTGCCGTCTCCCTTGTACCCCTTGCTCCAATTCGGCCTCGGAGTCGGTCTGGGGGGACGCGATCTGGCGGCGGCACATATCTGCAGCCACAGCACAAACAGAAGCAGGGCCGCCAGGGAGAGACGGAGGAGACTCTGTTTTCCGTATTTGGACATTTTGAGGTCCAGAATTCCGTTGCTTCGATTTTGTTTCATTCACATACTCCTTGGGAAACGAGTAGGACCTTAAGATAGGGGAGAGGCCCAAAAGGAAGGCCCACCAAAACGCTCACCTATGCTGTGTAGAGACAGGGCATCCCTTCCTGGACGGTCCTTGAATGCACAATTTTAATTTGTATATTTTGTATTTTATTTTGAAATAGTGGCAAGAGGCTTGTGTGGCTGTGTATCTGTGTATAAGCATGTGTCAAAAATAACAGTTAAGTCAATCAGTATTGATGGCAAAAAACACATCATCGAGGCTGTGGTACGAGCATCGTCGGCTTCTTTCGGGCTTTCAATTAGTCGGCAAAATGTTCGGACTCATATTAATCTAGAATTTATTAAAGCATTACATTTAGAAGGTGTACCAGATGGATGGGCATGCATTCATGTGTTGTGTTCATGATCGACAGATCTAGCAGAGGAACTCCCGCAAGTGTCCCAGAGAGGGCAGATAGGTGTCTGGGATCATGTCCACTTTGCTGCGTCCTTCGTCATTGCAAATCTGGCGCACCTCTTTCAAGGTGCTGACGCCGGTGCCCACGAAAAGCGATTGGAAGCCGCAGTTGCTGGCGAACAGAATGTCCGTGTAGAGACTGGAATAGGCGGGTGAGGTAAGAGCAGGTGGGGCAGGAGGACGGACCACTTACGTGTCGCCAACCATCAGCGTGGACTCCCGCTTGAGGACGCCGCATTGCAGCAGCTGCTCCACCATCAGGGGATTCGGCTTGCCCAAAATCAGCGGCATTCGGCCAGTGATGGCCTTCACGGCGGCCACCATGGCACCGGCGCCCACAATCATCCGGTTTTTGCCCACCGGATAGGCGGTGTCCAGACAGGTGCCCAGGAAGAGGACCTTCGGCTCCTGGAGGTACGAACTGGCCCTGATTATCTTCGGCACATTGAAGCTCTCATCCTTGCCGATTATCACGGCGCCCACCTCGTGATCCAGGTACATATCCTTGGCAAACTGTTCCATGGGCTTGAGCAGCTTCTCCTTGCCCACAGAGAAGCTGCAGATGTTCTCCTTGGCCAGCTCATCGACAATGGCCGACTCCCCGACGATGTACGCCTTCTTTTTGAACCCCTTCGCGCTGAGGAACCTGGCCACGGACAGCGCCGAGCTCAGTATCTGCTCTTCCTGGATCTCGTAGCCGAACTGGTGCGCCTTCGCGGCCAGATCCTTGGTGAGCAGACCCGAATGGTTGGTCGCCACCAGCACCTGCCTGCCCGAGCTCTTGATCATATTAAAGGTCTCCACTGCCCCATTGATCGGCCGGTTCAGGTGCCACAGAACACCGTCGGCATCGAATATCACCGATTCGATTGTGGTCAGCCACTGGCGCACCTTCTCCTTGGGTATTTTGGTCAGATCCGTGCAGGTACGCTTGAACATGGCTCAGCACGGGACTACAACTGCTCGTAGGTGATATTTTGAAACAACAATAAAACAGTCAAACCACAATTGACATTCCACACAGCCAGTACTAGATTGTGAGTTTTCTCAGAAACCAAGATCTCAGATCCAATCAAAAAGCACTGTTTGAACAGAGCAAGCCCAGCACCGAGAAATAATAGGTACACATCGTATTAACCGCTCTCAGGACCCTTCTCGGGATCCCCCCTAAAGGGCGCGCCAGTGCCACATAAATTTAATTATCAAACAATTATACATTCCCCCCACAGCGAGGGGTATCAAAAGTACTGCCGTAAGAGCGTGGTGTCTATCTGTCTGTCTAAAGTAATGAATGTAGTCTAAGGGGTAAGGTGTAAGGGGTAAGGTGTCAGGTGTAGGGGCCTTAATAGTTTCGGGAGGGTATGAATGGCAGCAAGTCCGAGAGCCTGTGCAGATACAGGTCTGGTATCTGCTGGTACGCAATGGCCTGCTTAGAGGCCAGGGCATGGCGGACATCCTGGAGACTGCTGACGCCAGTGCCCACCAGTAGAGTGTGAAAACCGCAGTTGTAGCCGAACTGCATATCCGTGTACATGCTGGGCGGGAGGGGGGAAAGGCATGAAAGTAAGCGAAAATACCATATAGGAGTGAGAAACTCACGTGTCGCCCACCAGCAGGGTGCGTTCCGGCTCGATGACACCCTGACGTATCAGATGGGAGCAGACATAGTGACTGGGCTTGCCGCAGGTGAACGGGGCCCGCTTCGCCGCCTGTATGGCAGCCACCACGACTCCCGCCCCGGGCACTTGACGGTCGGCAGCCACTGGAAAGGCGCGATCGCGATTGGTGGCCAAAAAGAGGGTCCTTGGGTCCCGGAGGTATATGCTGGCCTTGGTCAGCTTCAGCACATTGAGGCCCAAGTCCATGCCGACGGCCACGGCGCCCACATTCGCATCTAAGTACATTTTTTGCACCTGGTCCACCATGGAGTTCTCCTGCGTGGAGGCCAAGTCCAGCGGCAGACTCTCGATCCCGACCTGCCGCAGCTCGTCCTTGATGCCCTGGCCACCCACGATGTAGACCTTGCGATTGAACTTCCGCTCTCGCATATAGCGGGCCAGAGCCTGCGCCGAGGAGAGGATCTCGTTCTCGGCTATCAGGAAGCCCATGCTGTGTGCCTTCTTGCTCAGGGCCCGGCACGAGGCCTCCGAGTTGTTGGTGCAGATGAACGAATTCTTGCCCATCGCCCGCAGGGCATTGAACGTATCGGCAGCTCCCGTGAGTGCCTGATCGTGGCGCCACAGCACCCCATCCGCGGCGTAGACGATCGTGTCGAAGGTCTTCAGCAGTTGGCGGACATTATATATGTTTGGTTCCAGCACCTGGCAGCCGCCCATCCGCAGCACTCGCCGCGACAAAACGAAATTCATTCTCATGATTTTCTCGCTCAGGGGAAAAGGAAACACTCACATGTCAATAAAGTATTTACTTAGACCCACGCAGACTCAAACGTCCCATCGAACATAAAAAATACAAAAATTTGCTGAATAACACATCATTAAAATTTGTATATAAACCTAATCACTAAACTCTTAAAATATGTAGTAAGCCAATGTAAATATCACTAATATTAGATCATAGTTTAAGTAAAGCTGATTTGTAATAAAAAAAAAAAATAAAAAAAAAAATTACTTAGATTTAAATCTATTAAAAATCTATTAAATTTGTAAGAATATATTTACGAGTGTGTCGAATATTTTCAGATTAATTTTACTACAATTTCCATAGTCGGTATCTCAGGGCCTCGCCAATTAATTGCAGCCCAAAAGGAAATCCTCCTTGAAAGTTTTGTCGCCTGTGAAATATATCTAAGCACCTTCTGTCTCTTTACGTAAGGTTTGAGTGTGTGTGGATTTGCAGCATAACTCAATTTCCTCAAGTGGAGAGCGCTTTACATTTTTCCCAGTTTTCGCAGTTTACCCAACACTAGATGGGGCCCACTGATGGATGGCTTGGGGCGGAAGTAGAAGCAGAAGCAGAAGCAGAAGCAGAGGCAAGTGGCAAATCCACATGGAATGCATACTCCATTCTCTCTGCAAACAATACAAGAGCGGAGCGGAACAACAAACGAGCAAATTCCACTCGACTAGGTATCGAGAGGCAATAGTATCCAAATGGAATTTTAAGCACAAAGTTTGACCAAACTTTTTTCGGAACCCAGAAAAAAGCAGAAAACGAACCAAGAACCGAGCACCGAGAAACGGAAACTTTTTTATTAAGTTTACAAGAAAAAGTTAATTTCTTGGGCCTCCCTCGGAGTTCAGTGGGGGCCCTGGGGCTGTTGTTTTTTCCCTAATTAATACCTCGAGACGAAGGCTGAAATCCACTTGATTTATATGCCAATCAGTGGCCGGTCGCCGCAATCCACTCTGCCTATGCTACGTGTGTGTTAGAGAGAGACAGGGCGAGAAAAAATGAAATTGTTTTCTTGATGCTGGCTATAATAATAATACGATCCAATTCAGATTCCGCAGTCTAAAAGATATCGTCATTCTCTACGATTCTGCGTTTTTGGTTTTCTCGTATCCTTAAAATTGTGGATGCCACAGATTTTCGCCCTTTGTGGGGGCGGAAGTGGGCGGGGCAAAGTTTTGAAATATTTTTGTAGCAGTGACATATCACAGAAGTCTGGATCCAAAACATCGTTGCTCTAGCTCTTATAGTCTTTGAGCACTAGGCGCTGAAGGACACGGACAAACGGACAGACGGACGGACGGACAGACAGACAGGCCTCAATCGACTCGGCTATTGATGCTGATCAAGAATATATATACTTTATAGGGTCGGAAACGATTCCGTCTGGACGTTACACACATCCACTTTTACCACAAATCTAATATACCCCAATACTCATTTTGAGTATCGGGTATAAAAAAAACGGAGAAAATCCCTACTGCAGTCATCGACTGCGATACAAACTCTGGCGCTTACGTATAATTACGTATATTCTAATTCTATGTACATAAATAATCCACCAATTTCTTTTCGGTTTTATTTGCCGATCTTTTTCTGACATGATAATTATAGTACAAGAACGAAGAATACAATAAGTATAGACAATGGAAGAGATTACTTGGAAGAGTACAATTTTTTATTAGTTGAATTTGTGAGTAAAGCACTTGTCGAATAGTTATTTGTAAGAGCTAATATCTCAAGTGGCTTCAAAGTCTTAACTTAATAGCAAACTTAAACATCTCTTAAACAACTGTTAAACATCTGGCGAAAAGTCATTGAATACAAGAAAACCATACTGGCTCTAAATATGGGAAAGACAAAACACGACTATTAGCATCTTACATTAAACTATTCTGAAACAGTCGTTGTGGCTTCTTCCTTAGGCTCTTCAGGTTCATCCAGATTCCTTCCGTCATTCAACTGATCCTGCTGGACATCTACTGACGACTGATTTTGTTCGCTTGGAGCTCGTGGCTGCTGGGTTCGTAGAAGACTATCGAGTCCGCCAAAATTAGCCTCAATGATAACATAAAGTACATACGACATCAAAATAGTGATCCCAATGACAGACCAGAAATTAAGCATCTGCAAAGCATAAAATATTATACATTTGTTATAATCCACTAGTTTCTGTCAACTATCCAAAACAACACTTACAAAGTTGTAGTTCGAAAAATATGTATTGGTCCGTAGAATTCTGCTGTTTACTTCCAGAGTGAACATATGCCAGATGTACACGGAATAGGAGAGTCTCGAGAGAGGCTGCCACAATGGCGAGGATAGGAAACTGTCTGCCAGGCCGCCATGGCCCTGCATTTTATTTATTTATTTATTAAATTAACAAATTATCTGTTAATAATGGTACTTAGTTACTAAAGGCGGAAAAAGATAAGTTAAAAGTTAGCTAAATTTAAGTGATTATAAATATTGCATGCAATTAGTTTTAGAGACAGTTCAGCGGATAGGGTTTGACAGAGGGAGTTATAATTATGGCATAAAACCCTAAAAGGTTCATGATCAGCATAACTAGACCTACATATGGGTAGACAGATAGGCCTAAAAGTACGGGTAGGTCTAGAAGGAATGTAATATTCGACGCTTGTCGTGCCTTCTTGTATTTTAATTATCCACGGCTAACTCCCAAAATTACAGCCTAAAACTAGGCCGTAAAAAAAATTCGAGTTGAAGATCTTTTGAGCTTTGATAAAGCTTATCAACAGCTGTTTTGCGACCAAGCGGCAACGCTTTGATATGCAATTTTTCTGCCGTGCACTATATTTTATTAAGTATTGCTGTGTCTGGATTCTGTATAACAGAAGAAGACCATAGAAAGTGTGGAAAAAACATGGGTTGCTGTACTTAGTCGCCCCAGCCTCTTTCTTTTTCTCCTCGTGACCGTCAGAGTGACCGGCAGTGGAAAAATAAGTCTTGTAGAGCTGACCCAGTTCTATAAACCAAGGTCAAGCCAAAGTCAAAGCCTAGTGCAAGTGCCAAGTGCGGCTCAAAGTGATCATTTAATTGGAGTGGACGCGCCAGTTATATATTGCCAAGGCTGGGGCAGCCGTTCGACCATTTGGGAAAACGAGCGCCCACAGTTTACTAAAATTTTTCGAAACTGTGGTGCAATTCTGTTGAGGTAATTATCCACCCAGCTACAGCGACCCGTTGAAAAATTTTCTGTTCTTTCCGCGTAGGATTAGCACCACTAGTATCTACGTATTGAAACGCTGGTCTAGAAGTTACGGATTGGTTATTCCCGGAGACCTCTATTGGCCACGTGCCCGTACCACCGGTTACACCCCCACCGTTTGACATTCGGATGAGGCGGTAGCCGAGGGCATGGACTTGCTCCTCCAGTAAACCCGATCGGTGGGCTCTGCAAGCGTCGCCTGGACCCGTTCGACCAATGGGGATGATCTGAGTGACTCTTCAAATACACCAGTCGCCCCACGAGCCATCAAGTGTGCGGGTGTACCTAACCTCACGCCGCAGATGGACCGCGGTCATTGACCCTTGGCATCGGAAG